GAACACCCTGTTCTATTCTGGAATAGAACATGTTCGAAATAGAACATGTCGGGTGTTCGATTTGTTCGATATCCGGATCGGTCTCCTACATCTGCCTTTTACACGGTTTAATTCAATGTAACACAGCCTCAATGATGAATGATAAACACGTAGAGAGAAAGCAATTATCCTTAGACGGAGTAGATTATGATTCAGACAAGGAAGGAGACTTTCCATGTAAACTTGATAACTGAATCACTAATAACATAACGCAGACTTCATGAGCAGATGTTTGCTTAATGGCATGCCTGAGGGATGTTCATTTATTATCTGTTAATCTCATCTAACGTCGGGAGAGCATCAACGAAACACTGCAGTGGGAAATGGCGTACGAGTGATGAGGGCATATTCTAGTGGAAAGGAGAATTAGATGATGTCGACAACATTGACAGGCTCTTTAAATAAGCTTGTTTGGAAGCAAACACATGACTAGAATAAGATATCATGTTAAGATCTAAAAACATTTAAAAACTTTTGTTCACCTTCTTACCCCTTAGAAATGTATTTTTGCATGGCCTCTTCGCTGTATGTAGGTTTTCTTGCTCTTGATGAAGTATCAATGATGGGATGCTGACAGTATATGCAGCTCACATCAATCATTGTTAATGGTATATGCAATATAAAAGAGCAAAATAACACGCCGTTCGCGAGTGTCACATTCAGCACAATTTAGAGTATAGTTACGCTTTGCGGTGAGTTGATCATATCAGTTTTCCTAGTCATTACTATACATCAACCTTACCGTGTGCCTATTCTGTCATATCACATTTCACAGTCAATTTATCAAACTGTAGCTCGGATGGTTGCAGAGAAAAGCGTAAAAATGCCATGAAGACAGGAGGGCGTGTCGGCAAAGAGAAACTGAAGAGTGGTGGTATTTAACGTTAGGCAAGATTGAAATGTACAACATTGATGTTTATTGTTTTGTGAGAATGTAAACTAAATTTTAGTAGCTACGAATGCGAGTTAACGCCCCTCATTTTTGAACCAGGAGGGCCCTAGACAGTTTCTATGTATTTATATATCACATATAAATACATAGATACCGGATATCTAGTTACTAAAAGAAAAGGTGTGTGTTCTCTAAGAATCTTACAAATAGAAAGTAACTTAGCATGAAAGGAGGCAGTCTACATAAGAGCTCACAGACCTACCCTGAACAGAGACAGGCCGGGGGGCGACACAAGTTATCTGGCACGTATGACCCGCTACTACGGTCACGTGTCTCTGACGTCACGTTCCAAGAGTAGACGGGTCCATTCCGTGAACAAGGTTGATGGAGTCAACCGAAAATTTGGGGTAAGTTCCATTCTATATCTAGTGTTGGAAGTTAAAAAGTTCAGTCTTTATTTCATAAATAGAAAGTAAGTAGCACATCCTGATGTACGTAAACAGTGTACCCATGTCCCACACATATTCATCTCTCCCGACATTGATGAATACTGTTAATAAGGCGGACCTCGGCATGTGTCGAGCCGGCTCTCCCGAGTCTTGTCGGGGGATTATTACTTCGGTGGTGCTGGAAGATTAAAGGATAGACAACTCCACCGAAATGTGATTCTCCACTCGTGGGAAGACGCGGCACACGGTCCTGATGTACACTGAACTGACTCGCTATGACAGGCGCGCTAGCATTGACTGATCATTCTGTCCCCTAAATATGTGACATAATTTCATTGCGTGCCTTAATTGTCACGATGCCCTTGCCTTTTCCTTTGTAGGACCTTGAGTTTAAGTATGTGTGACTATCACTCGAGATCTTTATTTGTAATCAGATACATATTCATGTACAGATGCAGATTCATGTACAGATATACAGATACAGATTTTCCGAGTATGATGACAGTTTCAGTCCCTACACCTGAGTTAGGAGGCTTGACACGGTGGCCTTCACGTGGATTTGTTTAAGGTTGCGAATCTGAGACCCACACACTTTGGGCATTCGTCTTCACCAGTGGCAACTTGAGTTTAAGGTACTTAGCTTAATTCAAGTCAGACTTCTTCTTTTCATCGAACTGTTCTAGATGAAACATAATATGACTGTCCAAAGCTAGAAAATACAGAAACCT